TCTTTGATGCCGGCTCCGTGAGAAATCTGACGTGGAAGACCCACCAGGGCGGTTTTTGGGTCCGTGGTCTGGTAGATTTCATTCTGCCTCATGCCGTTTCCTTTGTCTCTGTTGCTGACCCTTCCTTGGGACATCTGGGGAGAGGGTCCCAGGGTGCGGGTGCAGGTGGGTGTGTGTGTGCCTGGGCCTGAGGGTGGGGTGGGCCATGGGCAGGGCTGCAGCCACGAGAACAATGGGCAGCAAGGAGCCCATTCACCTGTCCGCCCGTCCGTCCGTCCATCTGTCCGCCTGCCCGGCTTACCTCACCTGCCTGGCTCCGTGTGCCTGCCCGCGCCCCACAGTCCCGCCGTCCGCCATGATGGCTTGGCCGTCCGTCCGAGCACTTCCAGCCACTCCAGGAAGCAGGTCTCTGCTCTTGGCCACTGTGTGGCTGGGAGGCAGAAGCGTGACTCTAGGCTGCAGCTCGGGCTCCCGCCGCCGATTGGCTGAGGCAGGGACCAGATGACGGGCCTCGGAACCCTATGGTAGCCATGGCAACCAGCCCCTTTAGACACCGCCACCCCCTAGCCACTCCTGACTGCTGAGGGAGCAGGCGGCGCCGCCAGTGGGCCCGTGCCAGGGTCCCCTCAGAGGGCAGGATGGGCGCGGCTATGTGGTAGCAGCTCCCACGCCAGCTATTAAGCGTTTGCGTGTGTGTGTGTTTCATTCATGTCAGGTGCAAAAGGTCCCTGTCCCTCTCATGGCCTGTTCTAGGCTGCTCCATGCCCTGCCTGACCCCTGGCAGAGGTAGGAGCAGTGACCTTGCAGCCCCTTTGCAGCCCTGGCTGAGAGGAGGACTTCAGGTCAGGCTTGCCCCAGGGGCTGGAGGTCTGGCCGAGTCTGGTGAGAAAATAATGGGTGGGGGCAGTAGGAGAAAGAGCAGGAAGAACTCCCCACCGCTGCTGGGCAGAGCCAAGCTCTCGGCCCACCTCAGATGACAAAGTTCCTGTCAGCTCTCTCTCTGCTCCCAAACCACTCCACCATACTCTCTTTAGCCGCCACCTGCTGAACAGATGGGCGCACTCACACGGTCCCTGCTCAGGAGCCTTCCAAGGCCCTCATGTGGCCCTGCCTTCTGTGGGCCTCAGGCCCCCACCTGGCAGGACATGAGGACTTTGGCTGCACTAAGCAGGCAGTTCAGTGATCAGCCTTGCCCCCGTGACCCTGCACCTGCTCCTCCTTGGGCTGCAACACTCTTTTGTCCTGAGAGGTCTCCATCCCCAGTCTGCCAGCACCAGCCTTCTACAAAGCTTTCCTGGATGTCCCAAGACCAGGGCTTCTCAGCGAGGTTGTGACGTGTCATGACTGTATGAACTGGCCATGCTGGGTGTTGCAGGGCATTGAGCACCTCTGGAGTCAGCACCGCCCCCATCTCTGTGACAGCCTAAAACAGTACCAGGGCTGTCCAAAGGCCCCTGGGAGCAGCACCACCTGGTCAAGTTTCCTAGGAAGGCCTCATAAGAGCCCCAGGAGGCTGCATTTTACTTCCTGGCCCAGGCCCAGTCCACATCTGCTCAGCAGAACCCAGTGATGAGCAGCATCAGGGCTGCAAGGAGCCAGTGTGAGCCTCAGGTTCCTGGGAAGAGGCCAGGGCTGCAGCAGGCCCCAGGGAGAGAAGTGGCTGCTGAAGAAGCCACTGCCAAGGCCAGAGAGACCCAGGAGCCAGGGAGCATCTGGAACATGGGTCCATGGAGGTCCTATATCCAAGGGACTGGGCTCAGGGCTGGTTGGGCTGCTCCCAGGAATTGAGTTTGGGGTGGGCCTGGCCACAGCTGGTTTGGGGCCATGGCTGCTCTAAGAGCCATAGGACTTAAGAGGCTGCTTGGATAGCTGCCTGGATTTGTCTCCAGACTTCTTCACACTGGCCTGGCCTGCTCCCAGCCCTGAGATGCCCTGTCACAGGGTAGAGCCCCCAGCTGTGCTGGAAGCCACCAGCAGACAGATCTTGTCCAGGGGCAGGGTATGGGGAGGATGCTGGCCTGCGACAGCTGGCAGTTGTTGGGGAGAGGGTCCAGGGGCTGGAGCCCCATTCTGGGGCACATTCTGGGGTAAGCTTAAGGTGGCTGCCGTGGGCTGCAGCAGAGGCAGCTTGGGGTGTAGGGGCCCCTGCTGCTGTGAGGTCATCTGGCCCAAGGCTCCTGCTGGGGGCAGCTGGTGGGTGTCAGAGGGAGTGGGGCTCAAGGAAACTGGGGACCGCACACAACCTGACCCTGTGTCTGGAGCCAGCAGCAGGTGTGAGTGGTGGGTGGGTGGGTGGGTGGTGGCAGGGACACAGGTGAGAGAGAGGGTGGCAAAGCACGCTGAGGCAGAGACAGCCTGAATAAGGCTGGCAGCGGCACAGGGTGGCCTCACTGTGGCTCCTGGGCTCCCAGCACCCTGACAAGGGCACAGGGCAGGTTCACAGGTGCCTGTATGACCCAGCAGGACCCACCTGCTCTCTACACCTCTTCCTCTCATTGTCTTTAGACACTGCGCACCTGAGTGGGACCCAGGAGGCAAGTGAGACCCTCAGGGTGGGAGGTCAGGTGCAGAGCTCCAGACTGGGCAACAAGGGCCGGCTTCTCATACTTGCTCCACCCCACAGTCCTGCCCTTCCTGGCCTTGGTTGTCCCATCTCCAGGTGGAGTGATGGGGTCAATCCTCCTGTCCTTCCTAGGTCTCTGCTGCCCTGCCCGTAGAGACCCCTGCCCAGCCCACAGTGGCAGCGATGGTCCACCCTTTCGTCCACTCTTGCATCCATACCAGCTCAGCCCTTTGACATTGAGGTTGATTCTCAGGCTCTGTTGTCATGGAAATGCGTGGGCTCAGCCCCATCCCTGGGACACATGGAGGGGGGCCCTGTGGCCCCTGAAGGCTCTGTGAGGGCTGGGGCCTGTCAGGACCAGCTGGTGCAGGCATAGGGTGCGGGCCGGCACAGGCTGCGGGCCAGCACAGGGGGCAAGACGGACACAAGCACAACGGGAAACAGGTGACAGGTGTGGCAGATGGGGGCACAGAAATGAGGACTGAAGAGTGGTTCAGGAGCCTGGACGAGGTGGGGCACAAGACGGCCGGGAATGCAGCCAGGTGCCCACTTCCCAGATAAGCTCCCAAGCTCCCAGCTTAGTTCCCAGTTCTGTGTGTGGTGTGTGTGAACACGTGTGACCATGAGCTCATTTCAGTGTGCATGTGCAGTTCCTGTGTCTCCCCCTCCCCCAAGGTGGGACCTCTCCCCACATCCTGGAAGGCAGAACAATATGGCAGATCCAGCCTCCTGCGGGCCTGTTACAGATCTGGGGTATTTTATTGGGGGCGGGGGTGAGTGCCATTCATGGAGGGCTTTTTAACCTCTTCTGAGAAAAGGATGTTTCTGAGAATTTGATGAAACTGATACCATCTCCTACCAGAAAAGGGCCGTTTTGGGGATTCAGGGCCAAGGCTATACTCAGACCCCACCTCAGTCCCACCCAGCCTACCCACATGGGGAGTGAACAGCCTCAGGCTCCAGTTGGGGTGGCTGGCACAGGGCCCATGACCTGTTGAGGTCACACACAACTCCTCCACTGACCAGAGGCCCCAGCAGCCAGCCTGGACCATCTCCTGATAACCCCAGACGCGGGTCCAGAACCGTAACCCTGAGTAAATGCAGGCCAGGACATGGACACCCTCCCCAGCCCACCACTGCCAACAGGGAGACTGAGGCCCGCAACCCAGCCTGGCCCCTACCCTGCTCTGGCCGCACCCCACTTTGTGCCAGCCCCAGGCCCCTGGGGGCCCCAGGAGTCTGACACAAGAAAGCCTACAGATCCTGGCAGGGACCCTGCTTGACCTGGGGCCTCAGCTGGGGTGAGAAAGAGCAGGAATGAACGTCAGTGAGCTGGGACCCCCCTGGGTGCAAGCTAAGGGACCAGAAAGGGGTGTTTAAGTTCTAGGCTGAACATGGGAACTATGGTGTGTGGGAGGGGGCCCAGCCAGACCATTACACGTCTGGCTCAAGCCAGAGGCCTGGGAACATTAGTGGTTTGGACAGCTGGGTTGAGGCTGTGGGCCCAACAGAGCTGGGATAGGGGCAGGCTGAGCACTGTCTACTTTTGGTAAAACTTTTAAAAAATTGTCACAGAGCAGGGGCATTATGTAAGAGAACACTGGCGTGCAGGAACAATTAGGGAGCGGGCAGGGCAGAGGTGCCAGGTGTAAACAGACTGTGAATGCAAGGCAGATCCTGACCTTCCTGACCTCCTTATGGGCCCTAGGGTCTCCCTCCCAGACTCTGTCATGCCCAGGGCAGCCCTCAGGGAAGCCCAGAGCCCCTCAGTTGCCAGGACCAGGTCAGGCAGGTGCCTCCAATTCACCCCCTCTTGCCACCAGCTGTGGCAGGGCCTTGGCTCTGGGGACACAAGCCCCGCTACCCCCGCCCTGCTCCACGCGTGTTTGGGAAGAGCCCTCCCCAAGAGAACTGAATGGACCTCGATGCTCAAGACTTCCAGGTGAGGGTGGGAGAGGAGGATCAGGTTTGGGGGTACAGAAAAGGCCAGTGGCAGCTGCACCCCAATCTGGCAGGCCATGTGGGGGATAGTCGAGGGGGCACCGAGTTCACAGGCCCCCAAGTCCATGTGGCCCCCATCCCCAGCATGACCGCAAGAGGCTCTTGATCCCAGAAGCTGCCACCAGTGGGGCCCTCGGGGGCCTGTTCCTCCTGGCTCCTGCAGGACACGCTGCCAGGGACCCTCCCTAGCTCCCTGGAACAGGCAGTGAGGGGATGGATGACCACCATACTGCTGTGCCACAGGACGCCTTCAACCGCACTGGACTCTCTCCCAGCGGGAAAAAACACCAAAGTGAACCTTGGTCTGCATAAGCTCAGATGTGGATAGGCTGCTGGGGCCAGAAGGCGCACACAGCCCACCCCAGGTCTCTGGGGCTGTGGGTGATGGGGTCAATCACACGAGAAGTCCAGTCCTCCAAGCAAAGAAGCACACACACAGCCTGGCTCAGACTTTACTTGCTCCCAGCGCCATGGGCACAAGAAGCACCACCCAGAGTGTGGGACCCACTGGGCAGGGCTCTGCTCAGCACCAGGCCTCCTGGGCATCCCAGGACAAAGGGCTCTGTGTGGCTCTGCAAAGCCCACACGGCTTGAGAGCTGCATGGCTAGCACAGGAAAACCAGGATTCACCCACTGCCCACAGGTGCCCTCATGGCCAGCTCAGGCTGTGTCCACAGTGCTAAGGGCCCAGCAGGTGGCTGACCTGGTGGTCAGGCACAGGAGGGCTGTGTGGTCACTTCCTGCCAGCTCTTTTCTGCACCACTGCAGGCTCTGACAGCGCCTGTTGCTGAAGCCGCTCAATGAGCTCCTCCACGTAAATCTTGAACAGAGGGACGGGGTCCTAAAGGTAGACAGGGTCATAGTGAGGCTCATGATCACCCAGGGCAGATGGAGCTCTGGGGGGATGAGAACCCAGCTACTGCTGTTGGCCAAACACCGAGAAGACTGGGGCATGAGGGGACCCAGGCACCCCAGGCTTGGCCCAGGGTCACACAAGGCTGCTTGCCACCCTCCAGCCACCAACATGGAGGGCAGAGCCCTGTCCATGAGACAGGGCCTTCCCTTGGGGATGCAGGTGTCACAATCCTGCCCCTGGCTGAGCAGAGGGAATGGGGCAGCCAGCTGCTGTGCCATGGGGGCCCGTGTCCTGGCAGCTACCACAGGCCCCAGACCCTTCTAGGGAACAGACACAAAAAGGAAGACCCCAGGGGTTGCTGGGCAGCCAAGTAAACCCACAGTGGCAAGAATCCCGCTCTTCCCACAGAGGGTCTTGGGACAGGAGAAGGTGGGGACCCCAAGGGGAAGGAGCTGCCATACTCCTCCAGGCAGGGCTCATACGTGCTCACCTTCTCCTCCAGGAGCCTCTGCTTCTCCATGGCCTCCTCCAGTGTCAGACCAACCCACTCGGCCTCTGCCTCAGGGATGACAAACTCCTGGGCAGGCAGAGATGGACAGCACAGTGAGGCCCAGGGTCTCCTGCTGGAGCCCACAGGAGCAGGAAGCTCAGGAGGAAGCCCTCACCTTGTACTTGTCATAGATGGCTGCCCTCCGCTTGGGGTCATCCGTGTGCAGCTGGGGGTCCTGGCGGGCAAGCCTGAGCAGCATCCCTCGCTTTAGGTCCATCCCGAATTTGGAGCACAGGTCCTCCTTCTGCGTCTGCCAAAAGACTCACATGGGACTGGCTGCTCACAGCAGGGCCTGGCCCACTCTGCCAGGCCACCCACCCATCGGGCTCCTCTCCATCAGCTGGTGGCCCCAGGCCAGGCTGGCAGGCATGATGCGCAGCCCCAGCACCCAGGCCAGGGGGTAGGGATGGGATCAAGACAGAGGCAAGTCCAAGAGCAGGGAAGGGGGTGGCTGTGCTCACTCAGGCCCCCTGGGCAGAAAGCCCCCACTGGGGCTACCCAGAAAGGGTCATGGTTCCATTTATGTTTTGCTGGTGACCCTCTACCCCAGACACCGGTGTGTCGAAATGTGGTGCTGATCTGGGCCTCCCTGAGCCTTGACAGGCCATGAGACCCCATGGTGTAGACTCGCATAGCCCCCAGCTTGCCTTAAGGATATAGAAGTCAAAGCCATAGGCCTCGTCAATGAGATCCAGGGTCCGCATGGTCACAGTCACCGTGAATTTCTTGTCCAGGATCTCACTATAAAGCTCACGCTGAAACAGCTGTGGCTTCCATACCTTCTTCACCCTCTTGGAGAGCTGAAAGTGCAACAGAGACCCAGTGAATGCTGCTGCTTACCCCTGCAGACCAAGTGGGGCCCCCATCTGCCCTCACCCTTCCCTGGGAGAGACTCCATCGTAGCACCACTGCTGAGAAACTCAGGGTGAGGAGCTGGAGGGACCAGCCCCAGCCCGGTGCAACCCTAGCCCCCCACCCCTGGAGCTGGCTGCCCACCCAGAGGTTGGCTTCTCGCCAGCCAGCTCAGCACCCCTGCCGTTGCCCCAGGGTTGCTGGTGTGTGTTCCAGATACACACACAAAGGTAACCGCATGGCTCACGGGTTGTCGCATTCCAAACCAGGGACCATCGGGCCAAAGGCAAAGGGAGAAGCCAGCTAGGGAGGCTGGGAACCAAAGGTGATGGCCCAGAGGCCTCAAAGACAAGTCTGCCCCAGAGAGCTCAGCGGTCCCCTCCAGGATTCCCACCAGAAGCAGACTCGGAAGCCTGCGCTCTGCCCCTCGAAAGCTGCCTGTCAATGAGGAAGGAGGGGCGCCAGGCCCGTAGCTGTCCCAAGAATTCGGCAAACTGCGGCGAGTCGACCTGGCAGGTAACCCTGACCTCGCCCCCCACCTCCTGTCAACACGCAGACCTCCCCCATCCTCATTCTTCGTCCCAGACCGCCCCGGGCCTTCGACACACAGCACGCCGTCTGGGTCCCCGCCCAGGACAGCCGCCAGGCCAAGCGGCCGCTCTGCTCCCCAGGGGCCCCCGGGGCCCGGCTCGGCCCAGCCAGCCCAGACCCGGGGTCCCCCGGTCCTCCCGCCCACCTTGTCGTTGTTGACGTATCTGTGGCCCAGGATCCAGCCCTCGCCGCCCCACAGCCCCTGCTGGGACTCGGGCGGGTAGTGGATGGGAATCGGCACGTCTTCCACGCGCTCCCGCTGCCCGTTCTTCGGGTTGACCTTGAACTTGGCCCCGTGGGGCCGGTAGTGCACGGGAGCGGGCGTCCGCGCCTCCTCCAGGGAGCGCAGGAAGTGCGCGGGCAGACGGGCACAGACGCCCTCCCGCAGCCGCAGCCGCCGCCACAAGCCTACAGGGAACCTGTGCAGTGGCATCGCCGATGCCGGGGCCCGCCGGAGCCGGAACCGGAAGCCGCTCCGCCCCCCGCCCCCCCCCGCTGACTGGCTGCAATGCCCGTCCGTCTACTCCTTGTCCCGCCCCCTCCCGTCCCTAGGGACTGTGGCATACACCATGCGGAGACAGCAGCGGCAGCTCCAGGCACTGTCAACAAAGTGCGGCCCCGGTGGGGTGAAGCCCCACTTCCCCGCCCCAGAGAAGGTGCGCAGAAAAAATGTAAGCACTCGTTTGGCTTGAAAAATCACCGTAAAATATTAAATTCACCAATCACCGCGAAATCAGATCTACATAAAACAAGTCTTGATGTCTTAGAATTGTTTAACCCCCCCAAAACACCATATATACCCATTTCCTCTTAACTAGCCTAGAGAATGCTTTGGTGGCCAAGTGCAGGGTGGCTGGGGGTGGGGAGGCCCTCAGGAAGGCCACCGCCTGGACAGGACCCAGAAAGGAAGCCCCCAAAGCCAGAAGGTAGGAAGACCCCCACCCTGGGCCTCAGCAGCCCCAGCTTCCCAAAGGCCTGGTCCAAGACCATTCGTACAGAGAGCAGCCCCCTCCACTCCTGGGAGCAATCAGCCTTCCTACCCTATTTCCCCCCCAGAGGTGAGAAGAGGCAGGAAATGCTGGGCCACATCTCCAGAGCCCCTTCAAGCACCTGCTTGGCCCGGTGCAGGGGGCGCAGACGCCACCTCAGCTCTGGGACCAACTCAAGAGGATACTCCCCGACAAGAGCCCAGGAACCCTGGAGATGGGTAGGGACACAGAGCTGGAGTAGGGTGTGCCTTGTGGGGCCATAGCCCCAGAACAGCTGGGCAGCCACCTCGCCAGGAAGCTCTTCTCAGGGAGCTGTGGCTCCAAAGCTGAGAGCAAAAAACGGAAGGGCAGGGCCCAACCCCTTGTCTGCCAGTGCCCTTCTGCTCTCTGGTGACCTTTGTCTCTCCCCATGGCAACTGCAGCAGCAGGGGGATTCCTATGCCCAGCTCATGCTGGCATTTAGGGGTGCAGCGTCAGGGAGCCAGGGATGCTGGGAGTGGTTGGCTCCCAGCCTCACTGGTGGACTCAGGACTCCTTGGCCCTGTGGGTCTCACATCACACATTCAGAAGGGAACAGGGCAATGGGGAGTCCTTCTTCACATCTCTAACCATGCCCAGGCAGGCAGAGCCTCACTCCCGCACATGGTACCTGTGGTCTCCAGGCAGCGAGGCCCAGGTCCCAAAGGGCACTGCAGACAGCAGCTGGGACCTGCAGAGGCACCAAGGCAGCAAGAAGACACAGGGAGTCAGTGTGTATTGGGGGAGGGGGAATCTGTCCTCTGGAGGAGGAAGCAAGAGGGTATTCAGGGCGATTTTATTCAGCTGGAAATCGATCTGGACAGGGCTGGGCAGGTTCCTCTCCCTTGACCCTGCTCCTAGCTGAAGAGGTCACTAGAGCAGCAGGAGTCCCTGAGCAGGCCACATCACGTCACCGTGTACAGCTCATCCCGAACATTCGTGCAGATCTGATAGTGGCAGGGAAACGTCTGTGACCAGGCCCAGGGCTTGGCGTGCCTGTCCCGCGGTGGCAGCAGTAACGCTGCACTGCCCGCCAGCAGCATGTGCCAGATGCTGTGGGTGTAGTAGTAGTTGTCGCTGGTCATCATGAAGGTGTAGATGGCAATGCCCACAGAGGCCATGGAGATGCCAGGCAGGAGGTAGAAGACCCAGCGCTGCCACGAGCTGGGGTAGCACTGGTTACGGTGCCCACAGCGGTACCCCTGGAGCAAACAGCCATGTGACTGTCGGCACATGCAGGCTGCATCTACAGCTCCCAGGGGCCCGGGCCAGTGGTCATGGGGCCCACCCAGATCTAAGCAGCAGAACCACGAGGGTGGGCTGCCTGGAGGGGCTCAAAGGCACAAGGCCACTGGTTCTCAGGTCCAGGCCACAGGCATCCAGCCGTGCTGCCCTTCACAGACGTGGGGCATTCAGGCTCTAGGCCGCTGGTTAAAGCAAGCCTGGGAATGTGGTCAGGAAAGAGGTCAGGCTCTCTTCTCCCAGAGCCCGGACAGGAGCAGCTGCCCACCTGGCTCCTTACCCACATGGAGGCCATGATCACAAAGGCAAACAGGCAGGGCCCCATCATGTTCCAGATGCCCCTGCGATCCAGGTACAAGGACATGGCAATGACCAGTGTGCCCAAAACAAACAGGACCTGCGCAAAACACAGAGAGAGGGAGCCTCATACTATGGTCATTGTGATGACCCCATGGGAGCAAGTGGCTGGAGCATGCTGGTCATCCTGCTGCACCCACTGCCCACCACTCTCAGAGCTGCTGGCACAGCGGCCCCACTCTGCTGGCTGGGAGGGAAATCCCCTCCTGCAGCTCCTGTACTGCACCCACAGTGAATGTGGCCTCAGCATTTCTGAGGCAAGATTCGGCCGGGCAGGCACCTCTGGGGGCCAACAAGGTGGTGCCCATCCCTAATGTGGGACACTGTCCCACCAACTGGATGGCTGCACGTTGCGGCTCTGCACCCACACACCTGCCCCCGTACCCTCGGGTTTCCGGGTGTCTCCCACCAGGCCTCAGTCTCCCCCAAGCTGTTCCCTGGGGAGGGGCTCCCTCTCTTAAGTATCTGTCAGACACTTCTGCCCACAACCTGTAGTTCTCCACCTTTCTGCAAGTTCATGCCCCAACGCTCAGCCCAGTGGGGCCCCAATGCTTCTAAGTCTCCCCCACCCCCACCCTGAACAAGGGGGTTGCGAGGGTGCCCCCTTGGGGCAGTACCCGCCCTGCAGTTCCTGGAGCTGACGTGGCAGGCAGAGGACACAGTCCTAGGCATCAGCACTAGTCTCCATCAGCTAGGCCCAGCTGCTGCAGACAGCAGGGACACCTTGGGGAGGTCTGGCCTGGGGTGGGCTCCAGGGCCACTCTGAACAGGGTTCGGGAAGAGGGCACCCTGCCACCACCTTCCTCCCCACATTCTCCGCACAGCTGGCACTGTTCCTGTGGCTTCTTCCCAGGGCAGCAGATCATCACATGAGACATGAGGTTCCCAAGGGCAGCGGCCCAATGCCCCTTCTAGTCTGTCCCTCCATGCTGCCTTGCACACGCTGCGTGTAAGGGCCTCTGCTCCCCTAGAGCCCAGTCCCAGTGTTGTGGTCCACTCACGTGTTTCAGGACTGTCTTCAGCCGCGCCATGCAGAGGATGGTGACCCAGATGGACACCCCAGAGCCCAGGAAGTCACAGTACTGCAGTGTGTCGTAGTTGAGAATACACAGCACCGCCTCCCCCGGCTGGTCACAGGCGTGGTAGAACTGCGGGCGGGGCAGTGAGCGACTGTGGCCCAGACCCCCCCGCCCCGGGATCCTGTACGAGGAGCTGGACCCACCGTGGAGAAGAACATGGTGTAGCTGTAGACAGAGGCCTCCACCAGTAAGGCGCGGTGCACGGAGACGGCGATGGGAGCCAGGAACACGAGGTTGCTGAGCGTGAGCAGCAGCACGGCCATCCGCTGCTGGGCCACCGTCTGCGCTGTGCTGTTGTCGGTGCAGCTCCACCCGCGCCAACCTGGGGGCCACACAACACCAGGGGCTGAGGCTGCACAACTGGGTTCTGGTGAGGGGCACTTACAAACCTCGGGGCCCCTGCTTCACCCCAGAGCAAGCCAGGCCGGAGGGGGCAGGCAGGGGCAGGGGAGGCCGAGTTCAGGAGGCAGAAGCACTTGACCCCTGGGGATACCTCGCTGAGCCTGTGCCTGTATGGGCGGGTAATGTGGGGCACGAGAGGACTGGGGAGGAGGCATCTGCCCCAGTCCTGCTCTGCAGGGTTGTCTCTCTCTCCAGCCCTGGTGGAGCTTGTCCAGGGGAAGACACAGGGCTGGGGAACCAATGGCAGCAGCACCCTGAGGGGCTCAGCCCTCACCTGCTTTGCAGCTGCAGCTTGCATATAGGTAGCTGTGTCTGCGGAGGAGGAGACACTGGCCATAGGGTCCACAGTCATTCAAACAGGGTACCAGGTTCACGGTGGTCTCCACATGGACCATGGCCTGCTGACAGTTCCTGCGAGGGAGGGGTTATGAGAAGGCTGGCTGCAGTGCTCTGCTGGCCAGTCACTCCCAACAGACCCATGGACACATGAACCAAGAATTGAGGCCCTCAGGCTCCGACAGCCCTGGAGGAGATGCCTCTTCCCCCTGCCAGGGATACTATGGGAGGGGTGACCAGATGGAGAAGGGGAATCTCTCCTAATACCCCGAGGGCAACTGACCCCTCGCCACCAGCAGGAAGCTGGGTCATTCCCAAACTTCAAAGTCAGGCAGCCCCATCCATGGTCCTAAATGCACTGACTTGGCCGCTTGCCCCCACCCTGGCCCCAGGTATCCTTACTCAGGACTCTCAGGGCACATGAGCTGCAGGGAGAGGTACCAGTCGTCTGTCTCTGGGTAGGGGATAATGAGGTTGGCAGTGAGAGATGAGGTGCTCAGAGACAAGGGGTAGCCCTGGAAGAAGGCTGCAGGGGGCAGAAAAGCCCATCAGAGGTGGCCAGAGGGTCACCAGGCCACCCTGCCAGCTGCAGCCTGCCCAGCATACCTGTGGTGCAGTTGAGTGAGGTGTCAAAGCTGAGGAAAGGGGAGGCAGCATTCATGCAGGCCACCACCAAGGTGTCATTTACGATCTCTGTCTGGAAGGGGAAGAAGTGCAGGTTAGCCCCGTCAGCCCCAGGCTCTATGGTGGCCGGGCCCCCAGAGAGGCACTGCAAGTGTCCACCCTGCGTTCCACCTTGGTCTGATGCTGGCTGCCTCCTGGGCCTGGGACAACATGCCTCAAGCCTACTGCTGCTCCTAGCCATTCTGCAGCCCCATCTCCTCAGGCACAGCCCTGGGACCTGCTGACAGGGACAGGGCTGCCCCATAGGGGAGGGCTCCCATCCTCAGACTTTGCTAATCTGGCCCGTGCCTGCCAGTGAGACACTGCTGCCTGAAAGGCCGCCCCAACCCATGTCCATGCTGAAGTCAGTGCACAAAAGCTTGGCCAGGTCACCCAGCACTCTGAGCAGAGCCTGGGCCACGAGCCTCTTGTAGACAGGTCTTGAGGGCTACCGTGGTGGCAGGTACCTTGTTAGCCTGCAGGGAGATGGAGAGGGAGCCCCCACTGTCCATGCCCGTGTTGAGGCGGAGCCGCACTGTGGAGGGTGTGTGCCAGTGCACCATTACCCAGACCCTGTTCAGGGGCTGGAAGTGCACAGACAACACGTCCATGTCCTCCCGCATGACCGGGTAGCTCACGAGGCAGAAGGGGCCACTGCCCACCCCACTGCTTCTGCCCAGGTCCTGGTGGCCAGGGCCCAGGGACAGCTGACCACTGGAGGCATTACAGCTCTGGTTTGGGCTGCTGTGCAGAAGGTGCTGGAAAGTCACGCTCCATGGCTTGCAGGCTGTCAAGAAGACAAGGGGCTCAGGTGGAAGAAGGCCTGGGGATCGAGGGAGGGGGTGGACCCAGTCCCTCCTCTATCCCTATGCAGCCTACCTTTGAGGGCAGCTACTGCACTGAAGGCCACTGACACGTGGGCCAGGCTCTCAGCCGTCACTTGCAGCCAACGGCCCCAGGGTGGTGAGGGCAGCAACAGGCGGCAGGGCCAGGGGAGGTTGGAGCAGGTGAGCGCCTTCTGGAAGTTGCTGGGCAGGGTGACCGAGCCCACTGTGACACGCACAGGGCAGCCCAGGCTCCCATTGGACACACAGCCTTGCAGCTCCAGCTGAAGCTCCTGGGTGTACTCAGGGACAAAGATCCTGCATTGATCGAGGAGGGGGCCTTGCTCAGGTTCTGCACTTCCTCCAACCCATCCCCTCAGGGCGGTAACCAAAGGGGGCCAGGCATCTGGCCCCACTTCCCAGCAGGACCCCAACACCTAAGACCCCAGTTTTCTCACCCGCTCCACCAAACCTGAAGGCTGGGGCTTCAGGGTAAACCCAGGACTCACCCCCAGGTCCCCACTCACTTGAGGTAGCTGGGGTGGGAGAGGAGGGTCTGCAGAAGGGGCACATCGGGCTCCATGACGGAGACCTTGACCACTCGCATGACCAGCATGTCAGGCTGGAAGACGTAGGCACAGGTGGGAACAAAGCCCTGGGGACAGAGCAAGGGGTGGCAGGTGAGAGGTGTCAGGGAATATAGGCTGACGGGACAGAGCCAGCCAGAGAACCCAGGCATGGGGGGGAACAGGGACTGCTCAGAGAACCCAGGCATGGGAGTAGGGAGCACAGCTGGACCATTGGATCCAGAGTGAGGTGCCAAGCCCAGAGCAAAGACTTCCCCAAAGAGGTGGACCAGCCCTCTATGCACTAAGGGGTCCTGCCCCCAGACCCTTGGAGGGCAGCCCCCCTCACCTTCACCTGGATCTTCTGGGAGGAGGGGGGCAGGTGGGCGGCCACAAACCAGTCCCCAGGTGCCGGGTGGGAGATGTTGGCAGAGGTGTTGTTCTGGGCCTCGGAGCTCAGCAGCATGCTGATGTGGAAGGAGGGATGCACCGAGGTGTTGTCCGGGAAGCTGGTGCCCAGTGGGTTGATGACTGGAGGGGCGCCATAGCGGAAGTGCCTGGGGGCAGGAGAGCGGGCAGGGGTCAGGTGCAGGCCTCAGCAGGCACAGGCAGGGCGGGCGGGCACATGGGCACCTACACAGTGATCTCCACGTGGGTGCATGTGGGCCCACCGCTCCGGGAGACCTGCAGCAGCCACCGCAGCAGCACAGTGTCTGGGGGCACGCGGAAGTGGAAGAGTCTGGCGCTGCCATACCAGCTGTAGAAGGATAGCTTCTGTGGGGCCTGCGAGAAGTGCTCGGACACCAGCTCAAGCCCTGCAGGGAGAAGCGCGTCAGCCAGGTGGAAGCACCTCTTCTGGGGGCACAGACTGGGAGGAACAAGGCCCCGTTGGGTACATGGGCTCTATTTGGAGGGTCCCAGAAGGAAAGGACTCAGGAAGCCATGGGTGGACTGGCCTGGAGCACCTGGCACACCAGCTTTGAGCTTGGCAAAGATCACTGCTGCCCTCCGGTGCCTGGAGGGTGTCAGGGTGGCCAGAGGTTTCTCCTCAGGCAGCCATTCCTCTCCTCCCCTTCCCAGATGGGCCACAACCCTCCCACCAGGCACCTGGGCCTTCTCACACTGCAGCAGCTTCCAAAGGAGCCCCCCGGCACCCCCAGCCATGGCACTCCAGCCACGGCACCCCCAGCCACGGCACCCCAGCTGCCTCCAACTTTAGAAGAGCCCCACCCTCACAGCCAACCAGCCCCTCCTCCTGCACATGGTCAGTCAGTCCCAATCCCCCCACACGGCATACAGGCCAAGGTTAAGCATGAAGGACACAGGAGGCATGCCCTTCCTCAAATCTGCCCTGGACACTGGACACCAGGACACACTCCTTCCCCCACCTCCTCTGCACCTCGCATAGCCCTGCCCGGTGGCCCTGTAGGCACTTCCACTGCACAGGTGAGGAGGCTCCAGTCCAGGGGCTGGCTGCTTGCTCGGGCCTACAAAGACTTGGGACACAGCCAGACTGGAGTCCAAGATCCCCTTCATTCAGAAAGAGACCCTGGGGGGGTTAGGGGACCCCAGGCCAGAAGCCTGATTAGGCCCTGAGCCCTGTGCGACCTTGGGCATTCCTTTTCCCTCTAGCTTCCAGCCTCCTCCCAGGTAGGCCAAGGTGAACGGCATGTCCCTTGTATGCCCCTCCCTCGAGGTTAATGAGTGGTAAAGTGCTTCAGGAAGAAATGTGCTGTGGACACAACAGGGCATGGCCTTCTCCTCACAGCTGGGTGCCCCCACCCAACCCCTCCAGAAGTCTCCCTCTGCCCGACTAGGAGAGCTGCCGGCTGGCTCACACCACTCTGGAGTCAGGCCTCAGCCCAGGTCCCTCCAGGAGAGGGGTGAGGCAGCCAGATGGGCAGCTGGCTCTCCTGCCAATCTCATGACCCCTCCCACATGGGCAACTGAAGAAAAGATAACAGCCTGCTGGCAAAGCCCATGGGAGCTAGCGTGTGGGGCTGGGCAGGGACAAGCTCCACCCATGACTCATCCCAGGTGATGCCGCCACCAGGTCTCTTCCACCAGGCAGTGGCCTGAGTGCTAGGAGCTGCTGAACTGCTGCAGGCTTTCTCCTGAGGGTGCTGCACGTGGCAGGGCAACATGATAACTACAACATGAGCTGAAAAAACTAAAGTGCTGGGAGCTGAGGCAGAGCTGCCCCCATATCCCCCACCAAGGACCATAGGGTACTGGAGAAACAGCCAGCCAGCCGGACACCCGGCCTCTGAGGGGGCCAGGCATGGAAGGTCACCTTGCAGTGTGCAGCTCCCCTGACCTGCTGTGCAAAAGGCCCTCGGGCCTTTCTGGCCTGGGAGCACCAGCTGTGAAGTTTTAGCAGGTACACACAAGATAAGAGATCTGCTCAATGTTGTCCTAAGACTTGGTCCCCAATTCCAGAGCTATACAGCTCCTCCAGGTCTCCCCTGAGGCTCTGCAGCCCAACCTCCCTGCTCGAAATACCTACACTGTTGGGCCATTAACATGGCAGCCTGAGCCGGATGTGACATCAGATGTGACGTTGTGACATCGGGAAGGGTGAGGAGAGCCAGCCACACACACACTCCTGCCCTGCCACACACCCCCTCCATCGACACAGGGTTGGGTGGGAAGGGAGGGAAAGAAAGTCCCTGAGCCAGCCTGGGAACCCAGTGAGAGCACCCTATCCTGTCCCACATCCTCCAAACCAGGACCGGCACCTGCTCAAGACCCTGCCGACCCATAGACACCAGAAGCCAGGGCCACGAGCCGCCTGCCCCTCTGCAGGCAGGCCTGGGAGGAGGTGAGGGGCTGAGCCAGCCCACCAGGCCCCTATGCTGTCCAGCCCAATTGCTCCATCTCCACACCCCACCCCACCAGTGACCCTCACCCAGGTCGGATCCCCAGGATAGAAAAGAAAGAGGGAAGTATCAGTGGAGCAACCACGGCAGCAGCATGGTCCTTGGGGAAAACCGCCTTTCATTTCAAGCTGTGCCAAGCTCAGAAACTAGAAGGCACAGCCCTCAAAAGAAATAGGAGCTCGGAGGAGCAGTATTTCAGAGAAAGTGAGGAGGGGCTGGCAGCTGGGAACTGGGAACTGGGGGGAGCAGCCCAGGGGGCACTGGGTGAGCTCCTACTGTTCAGTGGACATCTGGGTGGCCAGGACACATGGACCCCGGGGAGTCACAGGCCACAGCGGTCAGGGGAAGGTACTCCTCATCCTCCCGTGTCCGGGGCCTGACTGTCTACACCTTAGTCCCTACCCCACGCAGAACTGGAAGGGTACCACCCCCTGGTCCAGCCCCGTCCTTGGACTCAGTCAGGGATGGGGACCCTCAGGAAGCAGATATGCAAAGGGAGCCCAGCAAGTTCCCAACAAAGTGGGGACAGACTTTTCCTCAGACCCATCCTGGCCCGCCAGGTTCTTCGGGGCCAGGTGGGAGCTCAGCCACCGAGAGGCAAGGACAGCTGCTGAAAGTGACGGCACTGGGTTGGCGGCCTCTGTGGGCGGAAGGAGACAGGATGCCCACCAGACCAAGCAACTTTCTCCCAGCTCTGCCCCTCTCCCAGAACAACCATTCTCCCGGGCGGGCCTCCGGGCCGGAGCCCCAGGCTGAATCCCCCGGCACCCCACCTCCCCGGCCGGGTGCGGCGGTCGTGCCCGACCTGGAGGCGCCGGGATGAGTACGGAGAGGAGAGCGCGCTCCGAGGCGCTGAACTCGGCTGAACGCGGCTGGGCGGAGGAGGAGGGAGAGCGAGCGTCCATTCCTCCCCGGCCGCTCGGACACGGGGCGCCCCCAACCCGGGGTGGGGACCCGGCCCCTGCGCCAGGTGAGAGCATAGGTGCCCCCAGGTGAGTCACAATCCCGCCTGA